TTTTCTCTCTGTGCCTGGCTTATTTCACTTAGCGTGGAGTCCTTCCAAGCTTATTCATGTTGTAGCACATGACAGAATTGTGTCACCAACATTTACTATGTATGTATGTATGTATGTATGTATGTAATTTGAGAGAGGCTTTGTGTGTACTCCTTCTAGCCTGCAGCTTGCGTTGTATATCAGCCTGGCTTCAACTTTGTGGGGATCCTCCTGCCTCTGCTTCCCCCATGTGTAGGTTTTGAAGGAACTGGGCCTTAAAAGGCAACTTAGAGGGGAGGGAGCAAAGGGATCTCTAATTTGTACTGACTCACTCACTTCCTCCCTACCTCACTTTTGCTTTCCTTTCCTTTTCTTTTATCTGAGACATGGTATCACTATCTGACTAGCCTGGAACTCACTATGTAGACCAGGCTGGTCTTACACTCATAGGGATCCATTGCCTTGGCTTCCTTAGTGCTAGGATTAAGGAGTGTGTTGCCATACCCCCAAGTTTTCTTGTAGGGCATTAGTACAGTTTTCTAACCATGGGATAAACTTAAAAGTCAAAAGAAACAGAACCATTTTTTTTTCTTTTGCTTCCTGGAAAAACAAGGAACTTGCTTTTTTGTGTTTTTTAATTTAGGAGTATAGTTATTTTACTTAAAAAAATCATTTATTTGTTTACTTACTTTGAGGCAAGATCTCTCTTTGTAGCCCGGGAAGCTTTGAACCCAGTAACCCCTCTGCCTTAACCTCCCAAGTACTGGTGTTACCAACATATGCTATCATTCTTGGCTTAAAAATTTATTTTTAATTGATAAATGACTGCCTGTATTTATAGGACACAATGTGACATCTTGATAGAATGATTTTTATAAGGCTAACTAACATAGCTGTAAGTTTGTACACTTGTTTATTTGCAGTGAGAACATTTAAAATATCTTTGGGTGATTCTGAAGTATTTTATTGTCGACTATAGCCATGATGCTGTGCAGTAGATCTCATGAACTGATCCTTCCTTATTAGAATAGGTATCTTTGGTTAACTTCTCCCCTTTGCTTCCCAGCATCCAGTGAGTTTATTCTCTGAGTTAAACTCTTATAGTTTCTACATATACAGGAGGTCACGATGTATTTTTCTCTCTGTGCCTGGCTTATTTCACTTAGCGTGGAGTCCTTCCAGGTTTATTCATGTTGTAGCACATGACAGAATTTTCAAAAAGATGTGTGTGGTTACTGAGGTGTGCTCATAAAACAGAAGTTACAGACTGTGTCCTAAAAGATAGACTCCTCATCTATTAGATGGATGAAGTGTGAATGTCAACTTCATTCTTAAATATTCTGTGATCCATGCACATAGATAGAGTTCTTGGCTTAATCTTAGACATGCACAGACTCTCACTGATAATATTGCTTATTATGTGATGTTTTGGAGTAATTTGAATAAGTAGGGCACTACAGTAAAGGTCCATTGATTCAAAATGGGACACAGAGAATAGGTATTTCTTTTAAACTTACATTGAGCCTGTTTGTTGTACTTCTATTTTTGAAGCTGTTTTGCAAAGCCACTTGGATATTTAGAACATGTGTGTTTAGATGGAATGTTTTCGTGAATTTGATTTTTTTCCCGTTTCAGATTTAGTGGAGTTTAATTTGGGTAGTCCCAAGAACGTGGGCCCCTTCCTTGCAGTGGACCAGAAACACAACATCTTGCTCAGATATCGCTGCCACGGTCCACCCATCCGCTTCACGAGCGTCTTTAGCAACGAGCTCCATTACGTGGCAAATGAACTGAATGGGATCGTGGGCGGGAAGAACACAGTGGTGGCCATAGCTGTATGGTCTCACTTTAGCACGTTCCCCTTGGAGGTGTATATCCGGAGACTCAGGAACATCCGACGAGCAGTGGTCCAACTCCTGGATCGAAGCCCCAAGACTGTGGTTGTCATCCGGACAGGCAATGCCCAAGAGCTGGGGCCTGAGGTGAGCCTTTTCAACAGCGACTGGTACAACTTTCAACTGGACACTGTCCTTCGGAGGATGTTTTCAGGAGTTGGTGTCTATCTTGTTGATGCCTGGGAGATGACCTTGGCTCATCACCTACCCCACAAGCTGCATCCAGATGAAGTGATTGTGAAGAACCAGCTGGACATGTTTTTGTCTTACGTGTGCCCCTTGGAGACCTGACTGTCCTCAAGTACACTAGAGGAATCACCTTCAGTGACCTTTCCAGCTGCCCTGCAGTATGGGAAATTTGTGATCAAATAAACTCCGCTTCGAAACAGATGCTATTAACTTGTTTGCCATTTCAAAGAACAGCTGTACTTTGCATAAGGACTTGTAAAGAACTCAGGCATTGCTGACCACATTTGAATCTACCTGTAGGATTTTCCCATCTTGACTTAGCCATCATAGAGTTCTTATTTACAGCATCTACACACAGTATTGCCCTTGTAACCAAAGATGCCAATGAGTGGATGAGAACTAGCTTCTCCTGGGGAGATGACTGTGCTGATACCCATGAGAAGTGTTTGGATGTAAACAGAAGGGATTTGGTTGGCAGTGCTGTGTTTGCCGCCTGTCTGGTGAAGGAAATTGAACCCATCTATGTGAACAGCACAAAATTCTCTCCTTGGGAATAGAGAGGGATTTCTGTCAGAGGTTCCTGTGGCTGAAGACTGCCGTATCTCAGGAGTTTCTATTGACTTACCTATTTTTTTCTCAATTGCTTGTAAAGGCCAATGTGTGTGGTCAGAATTTTATAATGAGGATATTAACAATTTCCCTCTTTTATTGAGGAAAGGAGCAAAGTGGAAGAGCATTAAATCTCTGCTTTGAATTGGTACTGGCACTGGATAATTATTTCTTACTTGGTTCACTGAAGTTTTACATGATGAATTCTTATTCTAGAGTAACGGCTTTTGGAAACAAATATGTAAACAGAAGTTTATTTTTATGTTCTGAAGCTTGCAGGATTTAAGAACTGACTTTTATGTAAAGAATACCACTGGCCCTCATAAAATAGTTTCTCCCCTCAGCAATTCCAAACCTTCTGTTTTCTTTTGGCTGTCATGAAGTATATGCCGAAATTAGACGTTAAACCAGATCAAAAGTTAATAAAATTAGATATTAAAATCCATGACAGCTTTTCTTGGCTTGGACATAAAGTATCATACACAGTGCCTCATGCTTGGAAGTAAGAAGCAACCATTTAGCTATCTGCTATTCCTTCTGGCTCTTTGGACCCATGGCCTTGTGCACAGTAGGCAGTTGTGTCTACCAACTGAGTTACATTCCTGACCCATTTCCAGACACCCAAAAATAACAGGATTGGCCACTTTATTGGACTTTGTCTTATTAATATCAAATGATTTTAAATTAAATTTAGGATCATTTAATGAGTAGCTTTTGCATTATGAGAGGTTACAGTTTGCTTTTGCTTTCCTTGAACAGACACATATGAACACTCGAATAGCTTGGGAGACAGAAAAATGCCCACTCTTAAAGTAAGAAAAATACTCACCTTCCAGGATTTGGAAGATTTGGGCTTTTAATGCAGAGGACTTAAGTCATTCCTTTCCTGCTCTTGGGAACCATTACATTTGTGAAATAATTTGTGGGGAAAAGTTTTATAATTGTTTCTGGAGTCTGAACAGGACCAGTGAAGTTAAATATATTATTATTTCTTAGTTTTTGCCATACTGAAGCTTGAACCTGCTAGAACCTTGTACATGCTAGATAAGCAATCTACCACTGAGCTAAACTCCTAGTAGTTCTTCTCCTTCTCCTCTTCTTTCTCCTCTTTCTCATCCTCCTTCTTCTTTTTCAAATTTTTTATTTTAAGAGAAGTTCTCCATAAAATCACAGGCTGGTCTTGAACTTGCTTTGTAGCCTACATGGGCTTAAATTTTTCATCTTCGTGTATTAGCCTTCCCAGTAACTGGACCTATAGACTGTGCCATCAGCCTGGTTAAAATAGCTAGTTTTAAGCCAGGAGTGGCGACACACTTGGGAAACAGAGGCAAGTGGGTCTCTGAGTTTGAGCCTAGCCTGGTCTACAGAGTGAATTCTAGGACAACTAGGGATACATAGAGAAACTCTGTATCAGAAAACAACAACAACAACAACAACAACTCATCTTAAATGGTCCTTTAATGAATTAGGGACCATACCTCCAAGGATTATGTAATAAACCTTTGTGATAAATGCCCAGGGATTCTTATAATAGTTGTAGGGTCCCACACTTTGAGAAACAGTGACAAAGAAAAGATTGATCTAGAGAAGAAATATTGCTTATCTATTATTTCAAGGCTTCATCAAGTGTTTAATTCTGGTCATGATTCAATAATTTGGGTGATATTAGCTTCACTTTTCACAGAAGAATTAAAGTTTGAATTGGAGTCAGGGACATGGAGTCCACGTCCTGCTTAGTGTAGCTTGCTTGACTTCCATAAGGAGATGTTATGGTTTGAGAACTTGTGAACACTTCCTTAAGGATGATTTTGGGAGGAGGCTGAGATGTTATTTTCCCAGTGAAATTTTCAGGACTGCCTGCTATTGGTTTACAGCAATTTATTACCATGGCTGATTCCTTATGACCTTGTGTAGTTTTTGCTTTTAAGTTTGGTGGCACAAGATCCTAACACTTTGATGGCAGTTTCTTGAACCTTTCAGTCACCTTCATCCCGCTTTTGCCTTTTATGCTCTGGTGTGTAAATTTTTATAGACATTAAAATGTTACCCAAATGTTTCCAAGAGAAGTCAATAAAGGTTGAGTGAAAATCCAGAATCTTCCAAAATCTAACGCTTTCAAATACATCACAAGTGGGAAGGCTTTACCTGAGATTATGTGATGGGTCCCACTCAAAAGACAGATGCGGGGCTGGAGAGAGTGCTCAGGTTCAGAGTGCTTGCTGCTGTTCAGAGGGCTGAGTCTGAGTCCCAGCACCCATGCCAAGGGGCTTACAAACCACCAGTGACTGATGCTCCACATGCATTCAGGGTACCTGAATCCATGTAGCATTCACTCACAGTGACACACACACACATATGCACACACACTTTTAATTCCAGCTCTTGGAAGGCAGAAACAGGCAGATCTCTGTGGACTCAAGCCCAGCCTGGTCTATAAAGTTCTTCATAAACTAGAGCTATATGGTGAGACACTGTCTCAAAACAAAATAAAACAAAAACAAAAGCAAGCAAGCAAGCAAACGAACAAACCAAAATCAAAACCCTCAAACCAAATATATACAAGAAGAATAAAAAGAAGACTAAAATAATCTTTAGAAACCAGACATACTAAACATTATATAACATTTCCTTCAACCTATAGAGGTAAAGTATATATGAGGCATACATTTCTACTTGGGTTTCTGAGACATTAATGAGTTATATACATATGTGTATGTAAATACACACACACACACACACACACACACACACACACACACACATATATATATATACATAGATGTCGGGAGCCGCTCCCGCCATTACAAGATGGCGCCGGCTTCCT